GTATGCTCCACCTTGAGGAGGAGTGTTAAATATGGCAAGAATTAATCCTATGTAAATATAAAAAGAAACACAAATCCCTGTAATTACACTAACCCCTGTAAGTAAGTAATTAGGAGATTTTATAGCCTTGTAATTGTAGTCTTTCCTTATTTGTATTTCTGTCAAAGGTTATTTAAACCCAACATCTTGAGGAAATAATCAAGCACTTTATCCCCTATCTTTCTTCTCTTCTTTCTCACTTGTGTCATGCAGTTACCCGTTATTTTCCGAAGGGAAGTATTCTAGCTTCGTTTTCTTTTTTGGTGATTATGCACTATTCTTGCGTAATTGAGGCATGAATTTTCTATGTTTTCAAAAGAAGCAAACTCAAGTTGGTTTCCCCACTTTGAGTTTGAGAACGCATGTTAGAACATTAAGTGAATATGTGTCCAGATTCATACACGTCTAAATTCATTATACATGAATAAAGAAAATCATATAGAATATTCTATAGGATACCATAGAACATTTTCTGTATTTAATAATAGAATGTTTACTTACCTTATTAACATAGGAATTGATAACCTTATTAGACATACGTGAGACTCCTATACAAGGAGCACCTCTTGTACATTGTTAATAAAGTCGATGAGAAGTATTTTCTATTTTCATAGTAACACCAAACTTTAAGGGTTGTTTACATATGAACATCTACCTGATTTAATGCATTATCTACATAGATTGAAAGATATCATATTTACAGATTCTCACATATCTTTATCATAGTTATATCACATTTACAGATTTAATATATTACATATTCTACATAATAGTCATGGCTGGATTTTAGTCAACAGATTTTACTAAGCCAGTACGCATTTGGGCATGGCCGGAAGACCTTTCATTTCTCAATCTTTCAGAAAAAGATAAATCTTGGATATCCAACTTGAGAAAAAACAGGTCGTATCAACTCAATCACGATCCACCAAACGAAGAAGAAAAAAAGGAAACAGACTTGTGCAGCATCCAAAAACCAAGTCCATATTGACCCAATAACAATTGCCAGAGGAAAAAGAGTGCAGAAGCGAGCAGAGTACTTAAAGTGCAAGTAAGCTTTTCCTTTTGCCCAACTCGGATGTGCCTTCTGTCTCACCTTAATACTCATCATTTGCAGGATGCCACAGCCTCAGCCAGAATTATCATCACCATTTCTCCTATCTATCCATTCCACACTCAAGACCTCGACCGCTCTCCCCATCCGCAGAGGAGATATGACGGGAGCACGGAAAGTTTATCTTTCCTTTTGCTTTTTGTTATTTTTGTAATAACCTGGCATTTAAAAGTGAGCTTTTAAGGTATTTCTTTATTTATAATTTACTTAGTTTTAGTGAGTTGCATATCGAATCGGATAATTATGAATTGTGTGTGTATATATATAAAATTATATACTCTCGGGAACATTATTTATATACACATTAAGTATGAGGTGAGGATTAACTATGTTACTAGTAGGCCAAATTCACATTACTTATCATAGTTGGAAAATAAAGTGATCTTGATTGATAATTCAATGGTAAAGTGGGTCAAGCCCATCATTATGTTATTTGGACGAGACAAAAAGTACTTGGGAAAATAATGAAGTGCTTTTGATTTATTGAAAGAGAATAGAATGCAAGGGGGTCTCTTTAGAGAAGATATGGCGGCGGCGGCTCCCCCGGAAGCTAAAGCAAAGCTTTGATTTGTGATAATCATTGTTTAGAGATTTATGGGAAATAGACACTAAGCTTACTACATTATTGGCTCGTAAAACACAAAAAGCGACGATAGGTCATTTCATTCCAATTTGAAATTTCAGAACATCGCAAATATAAGGTATCAATCTATATACCTTATGTTTTTAACTCTTCAAGGCATGAACATTAATATATTGTATATGTATAGAGTATTGAGTTGAATTATGAAATTGAGATATGCTTTCATCTTTAAACTCGTGACTTGAGGTGTAGAAAGTTAAGATTTAGCTTTAAGCTAAAAATTTAGGGAAATTGAAATTTGACCCATCAATTGACATAGTTTGAAACTTGATTATAAATTTGGGCTCTACAACTTGTGGGTAACTCGAAAATGTGATTGGTTTTGGGAATTTGACCATGTTGATAGGGAGTTAACTTTTTAGTTGACTTTGATTTACCTATTCCAAAAATTATGAAATGACCCTAACCAGCATAATTGACATCGTTAACCAATACTTTGCATAGATTGAGGCCATTGGAAGTTGTTTAGTTGGTCGTTAGCAAAGACTTTAAGCCAAGGCGCTTGCTTTCTGTAGACATGTGAATTTTACACTTTCAAAACTTGTTTTGCAAAATGTATTTAGTATGTCTGGTCCATGTGTTGGGACGACGAGCGTGTGCTTGGCAGAATCGATGGTTTTTTTACCAGCCGCATATATATATTATTTTGTTTAAAAGGTGGAAATTATTTAATACATGATTTTGTAGTGTGGCGTGGCTTTGTGCCTTGTCATGTAAGCGTTAGAAATTAGTTCTTTGCTACTGTAATATACTTTAGGGCAGCATATGTTGCCGTGGACTCGTCAAAATGCCTGGTTAATTTCCTTCACCGCCGGTAATGACAAGTCCTTTGTGTATGATGTGTTGTTGCTTCTAAATAATTATATTAGCTTTATCGATATACTTGATTGTAATAACTGATGTGTTATTATATCGTATTTGTTGATGTGTGTTTTTATTTTCCAACTATATTCACGTATAACTCATTCCTTAGCTGCATGTCCATACAAATATTGTTCCGGAGGACGAGGCTAATAGCTGACGAGTTCATTCAAGTGGATTATGTTGTTGAACAGAGCCACTACATTGTCCATGGAGGCTGCCGACAGAGTCTTCATTGATTTCTTCTGGGTTTGCAGACCCGTCATTAAATTTATGTAATTCTCTTTTATATGCTCCAGGGTCTAATGCGTAATTTGGGTGAGAATTTTAATTTAATATTTCGAGATATTAATTATTTGCAATTAATTATTATATTATTTTGGATACTTAATTAATTTATCAAATGTCGTGAATGAATGCTAAGCGTATAGTAAGAGTTGGTTCGCGTGACAGGTAGTGTTAGCTGGGTGGGTGCTAGTTATGTCTAAGGGATCGTTTGGGACGTGATTATAATAGAGATAGGGCATTTTAACGTTCAAAAAAATAAGCATTTAAGAAAACCGTTTACCAGAAGAGAAATGCAAAAGAAAAAATGAAAAATAGGTTCAGATGCAAAAATTCCATCTATGATTAGAGTACAAGCGACAATACAAAAAAAAAAATTGATAAGTGATAAAATTAAAATATTAAAAGTTTATATGCTTATTTACCAATAAAAAATGGCAGAATAGCCTGGGAGGCCCCTGTACTTGTCCAGTTTTGTCATGCTGGTGTTCGTACTTACAAGTTTGCCAACCAAATCCCTCTACCCTTAAAAACTGAGCATTTTAAACCCCGCTCATCATATGTGGCATTTTTTACTGAAGTGTGTGTGCTACACTCGTTTAAGGAGCGTGAGGCCTATTAAAAAGGCACCAACAGCCATTTTTTGGCTGTCATCTTCTTCCCGATTGTTCATCCTCCATTGTTGAAGAAAAGTGACCTTTTCTTCTTTGCTTTTCTCTCTTTCTCCAACATTTTCTGTCCAATTCTTTTTTTCTCTCTCTCTTCAACATTTTCTGTCCAATTATTTCTCCCTTCCCCTATCTTCTTTATTTGTTTCTTCCCTCGAATCTGAAACTTTATCATGAAATTAGATTCCTCTGGCCAATAATTCAGATCTTTTTTAAAATTCAATTATATGCCCTTTTTATAGATGATAACAGTTAATTATATGACCTTTTTGTAGAAGGGAAACCCATCAAACTATCAAAAATACCAACAAACCAAAAAAAGGGTCAACCGAAAAATCCTCAAAATTTACCCATAAAGGATTTTGAAGCACAAATTATACATCTTTTACCAATTAATACTTTAAAAAGATTAGAGCTTTTTGAGAAAATTTAACCCCCAATTTCAAAAATCAAACAAGGCAAGACTTTTTTCCTAAATCAGTAAAAAAAAAAAAAAAAGAAGAAGAAGAAAAATAATGAATTATACCCCATTTTCGAGCTGGACAAAAATTGGACCACTGAACCTCTTCTCCTCCACCTAACGCCTTCAGCCATGGAAATGGACCATCGAACTTCTTCTCCCACTTTTTGATATGGAAAAACAATTAATTTTACCTCGATTTCTTTTCTTTATTCATTTTAATTTTATTTCTATAATATAAAAAGAGAAGAATTGGAAGGGGAGAGGAGGAAGAACATGAAGAGAGAGAAACGAGATGGGCAGGAGGAAGAACGTGAGGGGAGAGAGAAATCAATGAGGGAGAAGATTAGGGGATTAATGTTTGAATTTTATTTTTATTTTTATTTTTTAATTTTTGATTTTAATTATTTTTAATCTACCATGTGACATGGCATCTACACATTGTTACTTTTTGACGTGGCAGCTAACGTGGAGGAGATTGTATTACACGCACTGGCAGCCTCCTGTCATAAGCGTTTATTATACACGGTTTGAAGGAGTATAAGTGTTCAATATGCAAATTGTTAAGTTTGGGGACCGGCATAACAAAGTGGCACAATTTTTTTATTTTATTTTTTTTTAATAACCGTGATGTCCGGGCCAGCTCGCGCGCACCTCGACTAATTACACGGGATACCTGCCACCTCCCATCAACAACAGGTACCAGGTAACTCTATCCACCAAGGCTTGGATAGATGGGAAGAAATCACCTAGTATTTGCCTCCGCTGGGATTTGAACCTGAGACCTCATGGTTCTCACCCACTTCATTGACTACTAGGCCACACCCTTGGGTGCCTAGTATAGGTGCCATTTAGGTCATTCTGCCATAAAAAATTATATGCTCGATAGAGCCCGAGGGACCAATAATGCACTTCATTTAGCCGAAAACTTACAATGCTTTCCTTCTACCGTGGTGCCAATTCTCCCATATGAGTCCAGCAATTGTTCGTCCTTTCCCCACACCAGCACCATCACCTACAAAAAATCCTGCTCTGGTACCATTTGGAAGGAACTGAAGGTGTCTCTGTTACAGGAAAACAGTAACCATAAGGTAAGAGCCTGTAAACAGAATCGGGTAACATGAGTCAGAATAGCAACCTGACAAGCGTAAACCAATGTCTCAATTTGTAGGCAGGACAGTGCGTTTGAGCTTTCCAAGTCATCTTTGATCTTCAGATCGTAGGTGGGTTCAGGTGGCTGTACTGCAGATAAGGAAGATGTCTCCACTATAGGATCAGGATGTGGAGGTCCAATAGATAACTTGGGAGGCCGCTGTGTTGAATCAGGAAAAGAAAATAAGAATTTAAAGGATCAACCATCAACTTGTAATATACAAACATGAAGATCTCAACTGGTTAAAATCAATGATGATATCATGTGATACCACATTTAGGGAGGGGGGAGATTCTTGGAGCTTTTTTTTCCTTTTTGGATAAGGGGATTCTAGGAGTTAGTATCCTCAAAACCTTGTCACAATTTTCTCCATTAATAAGCTCACAACCACCTTACTAGCAAAGAAATGGGAACAGTTAGTAAAGTCATTGTAACAAAAGTAACACACCGATCTCTCTCTCTTTTTTATAAGGACATATCCATCTTTCTACAGCCATTATCACATGTCTTTTGTGTTTCAAATTCTCTCTTCTCCAACATTACACCATTTTACATAATAAAATAGAAGATAACTGCTTGAAAAAAAAATTGATGGGTAAATATATTATTACTAACTGCTTGAAAAATTTGAAGGCATACACACATATTTCTCCCACTATTACAATACTAGGAGTAAATAGTGGAGGTTGAAAAGAAAACGTACATAGTCCATGAACGTTTCTCCAGCCATGCCACCCTCATCTTCTTCACGTTCTACTTCAATGGCAACCTGAAAGATCAAAATGCAATGTAAATAACTGAAAAGTATGGAATAAAGTTTTCCCGGGTCAATTAGGGTATACACATCATCTGATCAAAAGAGAGTAGCAGAAATAGTTGAACCAGAAGAATTGCTATAATTATTACTATTTTATTTTTATTTTTTGAAAAAGGAAATTATTGTTGAGCACAACCTTTCTTCTCATTAGACCACAACTCTATTGATACTGAAAATGCTAATGAAATTTATTCTTTTTTATAAATATAAAAGTTAGGATTTTATTGGTATGAAGGGGCAAATCCCTGCATCCAATATGTATGCCAAAAGTGAAGAATCTTGTGCAAAACATGATTCTCTGTGAAGAGTACTCAGTTGTTAAGCTAACTGGAATGTCAAACATAATCCAAAAGATAGAGAAAAACATCAATGATCCACTAATTTGTAAAAATGAGCTTTCAACTTCTTCAACACTCTTCTGATCCGCTCCTTCCATATGGTCCACATCAGCATCAAAAGAGCTATATGCCGTGCTCTTCCTCCCTTTCCTCCTATAAACATCAGTCACTGGCACCAGCCATGCAACTCCAAACATCTTTCATATGGCACACCAGAGTATATGCGCGATAGGACAATGAAGTCACAAATGATTAACATCCTCTCTACGATCTTGCACATATAGAACCAAACTGATGTAGATTGACATCATTTGTCAGCCTGCATGCTATAGAATAACTTCCGGAAATGTTATCTAAAAGAAAAAAAGCACTCTAGGAACCCATAATGATTGAGGAAACTGTCCTTTTAACAGTCCGTCATAGAAGAATTTCATCCTTTCGTCCTTTCTACCAACCTGTTACTTCACCAAGTAGTTACGTGTGTTTGTTGAGTCAAAATTATGAAGATAGTGGAGAAAGTTCCACATAAAAGGGCTTCTCAGTTCTCAAACCAAGTTTGTTTCCAGAAGGAAATTCTTCTTCTATCGCCTACTTTGAGCATCACATTGCCGTAGAAATTATCCACCCTCCCAATGCTTCTCCAAAAAGCAACTCCTTAGTTTAAGCTATCTTGTTTGTTCTCCATCTCTCTCCCGTTCTACCCTATATTTATCCGCAATCACTCTCCTCCCCAATGAATGTTCTTCCACCGCATGAATGTTCTTCCACCCCACACCTCCATATTCATTTTCCTAGTAATGCTTTATTCAACACCATCAAGTTCCTTATCCCCAATCACCCACTTCAATAGGAGATGCCACTATCTCCTACTTGACTAAATGATACTTCTTCACCTCCCAAATTTCAATGACCTTTTACTTAATGTATCCCTTAAGCTTTTTGGAAATTAACTAATTGTAGTAGACGACTGTTTTTCAGGTGGAAAATTTTAGCTAAAAGCAACAAAATACAACGGCGTTATTTTTAGGGCATGTTTCCTAAGAATAAACAGAGGGCGATAAGGGAGAGTAAAAACCTCGTTGACTTCTTCCTGAGGCATAGGCGGAAGAGGAGGAGGAGGAGGACGGAGTGCAGCAGGATGAGGAAGAAATTGCCTAATTTTGGAGATATCAACGGCGAGGTCGATCCCACATTGAGGGCAAGCGAAGTGAGAGAGGCCATGAGGGACGTTAAGTATGGCCTTGCAGTGAGCGCAGGGCAACTGGATCTTGGTGGGATCAATGCCATGAGCCAGGGCACTGCTGCGCTGTTGTTGAGGCATGAGCTCCGGAGGCAGCATCTGCGGCAATTGACAGGTAGGGCACACAAACTCCGTCAGTCCCGCAGCGACTGTCAATATCATCTTGCAACCAGCACACCGAACTTGGCAACCTCCTCCTCCATTAGAACTGCTCGCCGACGGTGGTGGTGGTGGTGGTGGCGGAAGAGACGGAGGAACAACTGACGGAATCGGGACCGATTGCTGGTCCATATTAAACAAATAAGAAGAGACCAGTCGAAAGACTAAGAAGACGAAAGAAGATGCACAACCGGGAATTGAAATTTATGACAAAGATGTCAACTAAAAAATGACTGACAGCCGGAAAAGGTGGATTGTGGCCGGAGATGTTCGGTCAGTTTTGGCTTGTCCTCAATTCTTGGGCTTTGGAGCGCACGCTCCCGCTTCCGGTTTCCTTACTGGTGAGTGGCGAATAGTACACAAAGAAAGTCTCAGAAAGTTAGTTTGGGCAATGTCTTTGAATAAATAATAAATTGTCAAAATAATCCTTAGGCGTGGTTTAGTTATAAGGAATTAAGGATAACTAATACTAGTACTCGAGGATAATTAATACTAGTACTCAACAATCTGTGATAAAATATGAAATTTTTTGAGGGATTTTTATATTGTATAGCTGCCTCGAAAATATAGAAAAAAATTGGATGGAATGGTCACTCTTTGGACTAGCTACGAATAGGAAAATAGTCACAATAGTGAGTCGGATCACTGTATATTCAGTCATCACCATATGCGGCTTATGAGTTGCATTCGAACATATGCGACTTAACTTATAAATTGTGTTTGTTATAAATCGCGTTCAACAAATGCTACTTATAATCGTATTTGTCAAATGCTTGCTTATAAATTACCTGTAATGATAAAATTTCAACACTAAGGGTGCTATTGAGGATATAAAGGACTTCTAAAAATTGATTCCCTCACTATTTAATATCATTGAGGGTCGAAAGATGCGACTTATGGCTGTTATTGTTAACGGCTTTTGTCTATCCTTTCCGTTACTGTTAAGTCCCATTATACAACTGCATTTTGAGTTTTTTTTTTTCTCGGAGACAACACACCACGAGAGTTATTAAGCCAAAAAGTGCACATTGTGGAAAAAATATTCTACACATGGCCTATATTTCTATCAGAATAGAAATGTCGATAATATTGTCATAACTGTTTGACCCAAAAGAAGGTTCTTAGTTCAAATAATTAAATTTATGTGATTATGGGTTAAATTTAATTAACAATAATATTTTTAGATGTAGTTTCCGAGAATATGATATGTCACGCCCCAAACTCGAGAAGCGCGACCGGCATTCAACCGAGTAAACCCGGCTGAGCAAGCCTGTTAGATTTCATTCTATCCAAATTTATCCCTAAATAAAGAGAAGATGTACTCCGTTAATCAAATACTGAAAAATTTTCATTAACCACGTCCATTTCATTCACATTAACTGCATCATTCAATATTTTTCAAAATAGTACGAGTTTATAGAATTAATGAAAAAAAATTCCAAATACCAACATTTCTAATTCAATTCCCCACATCAAATACCACCCACAACTTGTCTACGGAGCCACTAAGTACAACAGAAGAGAAATATGAAAAAGTCGACAATAAGGCCCCGGCTATACCTCAACCACAAAGTAAATGAGAGACAAAAGATACATGACCCCAAAATGAAGTGGGCTCACCAAGTCAGTTGAAAAGAGTGTACCGTTATCACTGATCAATGTCGCTTGCTGTAGAATCACCTGCATCCATTAAAGATGCAGCGCCCGGCAAAAGGGACGTTAGTACCGTCGAATAGCATTAGTATGTATAGTTAAAAGTCCTCATTCAAAATAGAATACCATATAAGAAAAGGCAACACATAGAAACAGTAAGTCACAATCAACAATATCTAAATGTCCAGTTAAAATATAATAATTTTCAAAATACGAACTTCGTATATAAATTTTGGATTGGGAAATCATTAGCACCGATATATCACCGTCTTTATTAGCACGGAGTCCGATCACGCCCGATCGGCTAGGCCATCTCCCCACGAACAATGTGGTTTGACATGTGATGCGAACGAAAGTTGTTACCAAGAGTAGTACCACCATGTGTGCAACATGCCGTCCGATCTCCACCCGATCAATTAGGTCGCCTTCCCACATATGTCGTGTGGGTTGACATTTCCAATTCACATGTATTACCAATTTTTTCAAACTCCACTTGTGGATTATACTGGTTTGTTGTTGTATGTATTACCAGTTTCATCCCAGTTAAGGGGAATAATCACAACTTCACCAATATTTTAATTTCATCCCAAATAAGGGAAATAACCACAATCCACCCTTATACCGGCACGTGTAGTTTCAGATGTGGGCCTTATGACCCACCCTTCCTCGATTTTGTTAATGATGTTCCCAGAAAAATATTTTTTTTATTTGATTTGCACACAAAGGTAACATAAATACAACTGTACTCACCTCAACATATTTCACGTTGTATAAATTCTCATTAGTATTTCCAGTCACTAACAACAACAATATTTCCTTGGCTCATTTGGCCATTCACAAGATTCTTTATTCCTGTCACGGTGGCCGTATTTCATATTCCACACTTTCACCTCTTTCAATTTCAAAGATCACCATCAAATATCAACATAGAGAATATTTCAGCAATCATATACCTCAAATTTATTAATAATGGAAACTTTAAATACAAAAGATTTTTTTCCAAAAATGGGGCATACCGACCAGCAATAGAAACATACATCAAAATCATAAACAATCAATAAACTATTTATACTCACAATACTCTTTCCCATAAATGACAATATACAATTTTAACACATTAGTATGTAAGAACTCGAATCACACTGGATATATTTATAAAGCAAAGCATTAGTTAAAGCAGCAACCTATGGGCATAAACTGAGTACAAAAACTTTTAGGCAATTCTATTTTCAAAATTATTTTTAAACAATTGAGTCGAGGCTCGTTTCATATTCTTTATCGCATCCTCTCAATTCATTTGTACTACTAGCCACAATCATAACTTAAATTCTTGGCACATTAGCCACACTTTATATCCCCAATTCACTTATTTCATTTTCAATCAAGACTTTAGGTACACATATGAGTAATTTAGAGCCTTAAACATATCGAATTTTTCTCACACAATTTAGCATACTAGCTTTCATTTAAAACACGACTCAAAGTCATAACATTTTAATACGCAAACCATACTTTGAAGCTTACGGGAACATTATGGAATTCGATTCTAAGAGAGAAAGTTTAGTCAACGTACCTTGTCCGAGCTTTTCCTTAAGTTACTACAACGCCCCAATACTTCTAGTAATAACAATCTGTATGAAGATAGTGAAAATCGATTAACAATTAGAAGAATTTCCATGATGTAACTCTCTTAGGAATTTTGTCAAACACCTAACATGCGAAATAGACCACAAGGCTCTACAATGAAAATTCTTTAATCCCTCAACCAATTTCAACAAGAAACTACCCAAAATGGTTCATTAACCCCACATACTACAACTTTGTGTCACATGCATGGCCTATTTCCAACCCCGCAATATATTTGAACTCATAACCTCTTATATGAAAGCTTAGAAGTAGGACTTACCCGGATGAAGGATAATCTAGTGACTGACTTCCTTGATTCTTGAAGATTGGTGCAAGATTGGATGATTGGGAGGTTAGGTTTTCTCCTTCTCTTTCTAAAATGCTCTCACCTCTCTTTAAACTCACCAGAAAATCGTCCCAAATATAGCCCAAAAGGCTATTTATTAAAATGGGGTCGAGTTGTAAAAACCACAAAATTTGCACAGCCGCGCCGCATGGGGCGCCGCGCAGTAGTGAAAAATCTGCCTAGAAACGAATTTTTGAAGTGTTCTGGAAATCCCCACATACGCGTCGCGGTAGTGTCACATTCTGCCAGCTTTTGATAATTTGGTCATAACTTCTTGTAGTAGTGTCCAAATGATGAACGGTTTGAAGCGTTAGAAACTGGACTCCAAGTTCTTTCATTTAACAACCAATTTTTTCTAAAATTTCGGCAGAGTCTCCTTTGTAATTGGGCCTATCCATCTGCCAGAGAGTCACCAAAACCATCATAACAATACATTCATATCTCAACAAAGCATCATAATATATATCAACAACACTGATCTCAACAAAACATCATAATATATATCAACAATACTGATCTCAACATTACAAATATTATATTATCAAAATTAATACCTGGATGTGAGTTGCACCTATTTAAATCATAACACATAGAAAATACATTTCGACCCATAATTATTTGACTGTACAACTAAGTGGGAACATTTTCTTTCCTTAGCAATTTCGGCCTTCGAGTTGGGCTCCTCGACTCACAGACTTTACCATAACACATTCACAGAGGCAATCTCAACTCCTAGACTTATCTAACAAGGATGACAATTAAGAAGTGTAGTCCCTTGTAGAGAAGTTTATGGAAGCAAGTGGGAAGTATTTCCCTAGGATTGTGACTCAATTCAAAGAAATCATTATAAAACTCAATTCCTCAATATGTCATAAATAAGAGAATTGTCATCAAGAGGCTTCACGAATACTGTGTCTCATTCAAAGAGTATGTACATGCAATATTTTATGATTCAACGTTTTGGTTAAGACCATATATGTACATATACAACAAGGAAAATAATGCGATGTTTAGAATAAGGTAGCAAGGAGTAACTTACTTGGTGATTTTAGATTGACAAGGTAGTACCTTAATTGATGACCCTCAACTTCACGTCCATAACATACATCGGTACCATAATGACATACCCCCAAATAATATCTCCCACACTTCACACAACGGGGATGAGGTCCGCTAAAATGACTCGTCCCATTGACTTGATATTCACCCTTTTTGCACAAGTCATAAGAATCACTCTTATTTTTCCTCTAGGCCTTCACAGCGGGAGTAAAAATCTCAGTACCGGGTTTCTGTGTGGGCCTCTAGAATTTCCCAGCCCTACCATCCCTAACACGCTCATGAGTATACTCACAACACGACGTAAAATGTGCCTTCCCACATATCAGGCAGACCGATATTGGTGTACCCAACCTAGGGTATTTGTTCTTCTTGTGCCCCTTCTTTCCAAAACCATAACATATTTCAAGAGTGACCCAATATAAACCCAAGTGGTGCTTCTTACAAATCAAACGATCCGGATTATTAGAGCTAACAATCCTCTTTTGCTTCTTAGGTGCCCTCACCACATGATATGATAGCATGGTGACATTAATAGGAACAAGAACACTTCCCCTAGTAATTGGTTCTTTCATTCCTTCCTTGCTGACTCGAACTCGTGGGTTACTCCTCCGGAAAATGAGACATAGCGAGGAGATTAGCTCCTTGTCTTGGGCTCTATCGCACGATATGGAATATCAAATAAGCATAAAATTTCCTAAATGTCGAAGTAGCCTCCCCATTATAGATGT